CCCAGTGGTTCAGTCACACTTGCAATCGTGCCGTCTATTTAAAAAACTCAGCCTTCCGTCGTTGGCTCTGCTCATCCAACCTAACACCCGGTAACCGCTTCGTGCAGGCGGGAAGCAGATGCTCGCTCATCATACGGAGACCTAGGGAACGCATTATTCGTTACTGGTAACCAAACATTCTGGTCTCGTGTTAAAGTGATTTCACGTCATTTCTGCCGTTCCAATTTTCCTCAAATTTGCAATTAATCTGGTTCTCTGATTTGTGAACCCCACAAAGGGACAAAGATCTTCCCGGTTTGCTTCCAACTCCACTTTATCTACTGATGTTGTTCTGTAAACCTCCTCTCATACATCCAATCACTCCTTTCTACCTCTTATAATAGCCAATAAGATCACACAAAATCTACGTAGTTTGGATGTGTGTAAACAACCCGATCCAGACAGTGTTCCACCCACCGTCTTAAAAATATGCATCGCGGAGTTAGCCCTTGTCCTACGCCAGCTTTTCTGTTCTTCACTCAATCGCAAATCTTTCCCCACTATCGGGAGAAATCTAATCATTTTTTACATCTCCAAGGGTGGCGATACTTCCAAGCCTAATAACTATCTTCCCATCATATTCAGTTCTGTAACTTTGAAAGTTTTTTAAACCCTTATCTGGGACCAAATGCGAAGGTATCTCAAACGCGGAGGTTTACTGAATGACCATGAATGTGGATTTCATTTTTATGGTACCACGAAGGACTTGCTGGCTCTCGAATCGAATTCCTGTTCAACTGCAATCGATACCCACAAAGAAAACCAACTTAGAAGTCCAAGTTTTACTATGGGAAATACTTACAAGCAGTAACTTTTCTTGTCCCATAGGGTTTAGCACAAATGGATCGATTTATTGTCCACAGAAAGATTAGGAATGTCACAAATTATCCTTGTTTTTACGGGTGTTGAAATCTAAGATTTGTCAAAGTTTTATCCAGTTTGTGCTCGAAAGAATAAATTGTGGGCGCGGAAACAACGTAAGGTGATAGATAATTTCAAGTAGTGCCCACTGTGAGGGCAAATGAATGACACTGAGATTCCGGTCAACATTTTTGGAGCACTAATTTGAATGAGTATCACCTAGAGATGAATGTTGGACGACAAGGCGAACATTGAAAGACATGGGCAATCAGGGTTCTGTATTATTCGATACATCAAAATCGAGTCCCCTCGAATTCGACGATACTGTGCGGAGTACAGCTCCAATGATTCCAATCTTTCCACATAAGTCTTGGAAAGCAACCCCTTGACCATTTTAGCGGCCATTCTTTGTGGATGTTCCAGAAACGTACGATCGCGTTACAGTCATGGATTCCACGATTGAATTTCATACTCTATGTGAGAGATTGAATGTTGGCCAATAACAACCGTGGGAACAGGGTGGGATCAAATTCACCAAATACTCGTTTTAGCAAATCAACATGTCTCACAGCGGTGCACGGCGCCCTGGGACAGTTTAAAGAACAACACAGGTGGTCTTGAACAATGACACCGAGATCCTT